CCGTGTGGGGAGTGGGCCACTTTCGAGTCTATTTGCAGGGCTGACCGTTCACGCTGGTCAAAGACCACCAGCCCCTGCTGTGGCTGATGCAGAACTAGGCCCTCACAGGGCGGAATGCCCGATGGGCGATGAAGCCGCAAGAATATCAGTTCGTCATACGACATCGCCCGGGCAAAACCATGCAGCATGTCGACAGGCTGTCTAGGAATCCGCCCACAGTGGCGCGCGAGATGGCGCTCGTGGCCATGGCACCAAACCCAGTGACATCGCTCCGCAGGGAGCAGCAGGCGCGGGCTCCGGACGTGTGGGAAGATCACGAAACGCTGGCCTGGCTGCGTGGCGACTCGGCCGAAGGAGCAACAGTATCAGCACGGGCAAGGAGCAGGGGACGGCATTACCGCTGGTACCAGATTCAGGTGCAGATTTGAACGAAGGATGGGTGGAAGCGGGTGCCTAAGCCGAAGGAAAGGGAGGGAGTAATACAGGAGGTGCACAATAAGCTGGGGCATTTTGATCCGCTTCGCACGCAGCAGCTGCTGCAGACCGGATGGTGGTGGGCAGGCATGCACAAGGAGATCAAGGATTGGGTGGCCAAGTGCCCAGCGTGCATCAGGTACCGGGCTGCTTTTGAGAGGAGCAAGTCAGAGCTGCAACCGCTGCCAGTCGCGGGACTGGGGTACCCGTGGTCACTAGACTTGGCAGGAGAGCTGCCGCTAACCAAGCGAGGGCTACGATATGTGGTGGTGATGATCGAGCACGTGAGTAAATGGGTGGAGGTGCGGGCATTGAGCCACAAAACGGCGGAGGCAGTGGCAGACGCCTTTGAAGAGCAGGTACTGACCTACTTTGGGGCATGCGGGGAGGTGTTGACGGAGCAGGTCACGGAATTCCAGGGAGAGTTCGACGAGCTGCTAGCCTCGTGCCTGATCCCACACCGCACCACCAGGCGGTATCATCCGCAAAGTGACGGGCTCACGGAGCGACTCATTCAGACTCTGAAGCGCGAGCTGCGAGCTTACGGAGAGAGCAAGAAGCGGGACTGGGACGGGCACCTTCACTGGGTCATGGCACGGACAAGTTCAGTAAGCAGGCGGCGCTCAAGGATCTTTTCCCGTACCATCTGCTCTTTGGGAGGGAGGCGGTCCTCCCTATGGGAGCACCACGGGTGCTGACGGATGTGGTCACGGCCGGCTCGTCTGAGAAGTGGCTGCTCTGGCGACCGTTCGCGGGGAATAACTACGGCGCCTGTTACCAGCGGTGTTGAAAAGCTTGCACATCACTCAGCTGCGGGACATTCACCGCTACAAACAACGACAGGAACATCGGGCTTGCGGGGCGCCAGCAGCCCTGCTACAAGGGCAGGAAGTGTATATTTGCCGCCCAAAGAAGGATGGGCTGGATGGGCTATCTTATCAGCGCTAGACCGTCAAACAGGTTCAGGATTCAGGAGTGCTGGTCCTGGAGAGCGAGGTCGGGGTGCGTGCAGTGGACCACATCACCAATGTGGCGAGGGCGCGAAGCAAGAGGGGAGAGTATCAGGGTCCCGTGACCAGGGTAAGGGCTGCAAAAGGCCACGGGAGGGGGCAAGGAGATACTAAGCACAAGGAGCAGCGAGGAAAGCACAGAAAACCTGGAGAAGCAGGGTGAGGAGAAAAGGGGAAAAGGGGGAAAACATCTTATGAGGAGGTGAGGGCAGTATGAAGAAGGGTAAGGGAATTTCCAACAGCTGTCGCGAGATAAGGAGAAGGAGTAATGGTTTGTATATACTGTATATTTGTTTAGTACGGCGCAAGAGTGAATACCGAGGATGGGGAAGCAAGGCAAGGATGATGGGATGGCACATGGTAGGGTAACACGTCAGGTGGAGGGCAGCATGAGGGGAAAAGGGGGTGTGACAGCTGGAAGGTGCTACTTTGTTGTGAGTGCATGTTTGCTTTCTTGCAGGTTGGATGCCCGAGCCAGCTAGCGTTACGGCCACAAGCTGGAGGATTGGCAGCTCGATGGCTAAGTGTTGGTGGCCAGCGGAAGGGGAGGTTGACTCTTTGCCTTGGCGGGGAAACCATCACCTCCAATGGAACCTTGAGGTGTAGCAATAGGGGGAGGAGCTCAGGCAGGATATAGGGGGTACGGGCAAATGACTCTGCATTGTTTGTATGTTCTAAGATAATCTCACGTAATTGCTTCAAGCTCGAGCAGTCGTGAGACAGCAGGCCATAACAGACACTAGGGAAGTTGTTGGAACATATAGGCAAGAGAGTGAGTAAGCCAAGCGGGCTTATCAGGAGACACTAAGCACAAGGAGTAGTGAGGAAAGCACATAGCAAGAAACCTGGAGAAGCATGAGGGGGAAGGGAGGAGAAGCAGGGTGGGGAGAAAAAGCGAAGAAAGGGGGAAACCATCGCATGAGGAGGTGAGGGCAGTATCCAGAAGGGTAAGGGAATTTCCGACAAGACGCACATCAGGGCACGAGGGGCGAGCTTGCGAGCGGCACGGGAGCGATCGGCCAGTGGGATGAGGACGAAAGACCTGCAGCCCCAAACGCAGTGTCAGGCTTGGCCTTAGACCAGAATTCTGTGGGAGAGGAGGAGGGATGTTGAGGGTGGGAGCGGAGATTGAGGAGGAGGGCGGCATAAAGGAGAGCATAGCTTCTAAGGGAAGGAGGGGTGGAGGCGTGAGCAATGAGGCAACGGGCAATTTTGGTGATTTCACGGATGCAACTCTCAGCAATGCCATTTTGCTGAGGGGAGTGGGGGAGGGTGGAGGTTTGCTGAATGCCATGAGTTTTGCAGAAGGTTGCGAGGGTGTTGTTGATGAACTCAGCCCCACCGTCAGTGTGAAGGAGGCCAATGGGGCGTTTGAAGTGAGTGCGGCACTGCTCAGCCCAGTTGATGACCACAGCCGGCACCTGGTTTTTGGTGTGAAAGAAAAAGACAGTGGATTACCGACTGTGGTCGTCGACGAGGACGAGCATGTATTGGTGCCCCTAATGGGAGCGGATGGGATAGGGACCCAAGAGATCTATGAGAGTGGCCATTGATGGGAGCGGCAGCAAAGGTGGGATGGCCGTGATGGGGGGATAATTTGAGCTTGCCATGAATGCATGATGGGCATGGGGGAATAGGGGAGGACGGGAGAGGAGGTAAGGTGGGAGGGAGGCTGTGAAGGAGGCGAGATGTGACAGTGGTGTGAGAATCCCAGCCACTAACCACTGGGATAAAAGGGCTTTTTTACGTAGCGGGTGAGTGCGCCCATAACCCTGCAGGCCGCCGTGCCTGTAACCCCTCCCTAGGATCGATCGGGGATCACCAGTGGACCTTTGACACCCCCCCGCATTGGAATGCCCGAAGTGCACACACCACGATTCGAACCCGAGACATTCGCTCTGATAACATGTCAGGTCAGGAACTTAATCGCTCTATACCATGTCAGAATCCCAACCACTAGACCATTGGGATACAAGGGCTTGTTAAGTAGCGGGTCAGTGCGCCCATAACCCCCCCAGGACAACGAGCCTGTAACCCTTCCCTAGGATCAATCGGGGATCACCAGTGGACCTCTGACACCCCCCCGCACTAGGATGCCCGCAGTGCACACACTGGGATTTGAACCCGAGACCTTCGCTCTGATACCATGTCAAAATCCCAGCCACTAACCATTGGGATAAAAGGGCTTGTTTACGTAGCGGGTGAGTGCACCCATAACCCCCCAGACTGCCGTGCTTGTAACCCTTCCCTAGGATCGATCGGGGATCACCAGTGGACCTCTGACAAGTGGTGCAAAGTGCAACGCAGCTGGGATGGCCGAGTCTGTGGTGCAAAATGACTGCTGTGTGGGAGAGGGTGGTAGAGGAGGAGCGGGATGGGCTGGGAGAAGAGGTGGGGAGGGAGGAGGAGGGGGGTGAAGTAGGGGAGGAGGATACCTGAGGGGGAGGGAGAGGGGGAGGAGGACCAGTGGAAGTACCTGCACTAGTGGTAACATGCCAGAAAGAAGGACGGGGTGTGCGGAGCATGTAACGACGAGTGCGAGGGCAAAAGGGAATTTGTAGAAAGAAGCGACCAGAGGCTGTGTTGTAGAATTCACTGTAGGTAGCAAAACCAGGGTAAATGGCGGTAATACCAACACCTTGGAGCTCTCGGTGAGAGAGGAGGTTGTTGCGAAGGGTAGGGATATGGAGACCTGTGACCTTACCGGATGGGAAAGCGGTGCAAGGGAGGGTTGAGAGGGGAGTGCATGGGATGGAGAAGCTGGAGTGAGCTTCATAAACCTGGGTGGGAAGTGGAAGGGGGGTGAGGGTGCGAGCGTCTTAGAGTGCAGTTTCTGTGGCCCAACTGTCAAGGACAAAGTCCAAGGTGGGGGAGGAAGGAGGGGATGGTGACACGGGGTACTGGAAAGACGTCTCATTGATATCAGAGGGATACATGGAAGCGACGGATGGTGCAACAGCAACATGACCAAGGAAACTGCCCTGAGAGTCAGGGACACTGGGGGGGACAGAGGGGATGGAACCCCAGGGGGGGGAGCAAGAGAGGCATGAGCGGCCATGGCCGCTGTGCCGAAGGTCATCGGCTACTGCTGCCACTGCGGTTGAATGTACTGCGGCGGCTGCTGCTGCTGGAAGAAGTGCTGTTGCGGTGGCTGCTGTGGCTGGAGAAACTGTGGTTGCTGCAGATAGAGAAACTGTGGCTGCTGCTGCTGGGGGGAGTACTGCTGCTGCTGCTGCTGAAACTGCTGCAGTTGGGAAGGAGGGGAGGGGGTGAGCAGGCAGAGGTGAGCGGGAAGGAAGGAGGGGAGGGTCTGAATGTCTACGAGGGAGGGGCAAGGGGTAGGACTATTCCAGCGAGGAGGGGTACCAGTGTTGCTGCTGTCAAACCAGGCGTCATCGAGCGCCTTGAAGCATGTGGCAGGGGGGTGGTTGGTCTGACCATACGGCGTGATAGCGTGAGGACCATGACGGCAAACGTACGTGCAGGGGGGGAGAGTTTCAGGGCAACCACCACGGCTCACAGCTCCACCGGCACTAGAGGAACCTCCAGGAGTGGTACCACCAGGACCACCACCACCATCACCACCACAGCACCACCGCCACCACCGCCACCACCCCGACCACCACCACCACCTCCGCCCCCTCCACGACCCTCTCCACCGCCGTTGCGACCACCCTGGTTGCGAGGCTGCGTGGCATTGAGGGAGGTGGAGGAAGGAGTGGTGGTGAGGTTGACAATGGGGATGCGGAGCTTGACCTCCGTGTTAATGATCCACTGAATCACCTTGGTGAGGCCAGCCAACGGGTTTACCTCGGTGAAGGCATGCAGGCGGGACTCGTAATCCGGCGTGAGATTGAAGAGCAGACGATGAATCTGCAGAGGCTTGGAAAGGGCAGCCTTGCGAGCGGCAAGGCGGTCGGCAACCTCCTGCATGCGCCCCACGTAGTCGACAACGCCGTCGCAGGTGGCGAGGGTAATGGAGAAGTACTCCTGGAAGAGAACGCCAACAGATCTGATGTCACGGCGGTCGAACATATATTGGAAATTGGTCTAAATCCGGTGGGCTCGCATCTCACGAGCTTAGAAGCGGCGCATGAGGGCATCGGGGAGTGCACCAAAGAGGATGGTGCAGGCGCAGTTGCTGGCAACGGCCCAGCGACGCTCTTTGGGATATAAGTCGCCATGAAGGTGTTGTAATCCGCAATCAGCGCTAGGTGAGTGGCACGCTCCGACGTTGCAAATTCGTGGTTGAGCACAGCAATGTCATTGTCGGCTTTGCGGATGAGATATTCGCGGCGGTTGTGGAGGAAGGTGGCATCAGCAGCAACCTGAAGCTTGGGGGTAGCGGCCCCAACCAGATTAGGCTCAGGAGGAGGGGAGCCATGAGGGGGAGGGAGAGGAGGAGGTTCGCCAGGGTGATTGGGTGCGGTCGGCTGGAGAGCCTGCGGACAGCAGAGGAGACCGTCAAGGACGCAGAAAGGTCCGACGAAGGCGTCCTAAAGGATGCGGCAAATGTTGCTAACAAACGAGTGCCAGCTAATGGCGTAGCAATCTGCAGCAAGCTGCAGCTTGTCAACCAAGGAGGCCTCGATAGGGGGGAGGAGGAGGGTGCAGTCACTGCTCACGCTGCTGCCGCTGCTGCTACTGCTCCACTGCTGCCGCTGTTGCCACTGCTGTCGCTGTTGCCACTGCTGCCGCTGCCATGGCGGCTGAAATGGCGGGGAGAGAGCGGTGAGGAGGGGGGGTAGTGGCGGCGGAATATGCAGGGGGCGATGATGTGGTCGCGGCGGTGGAAAACGCGGCCGGTGACGGCGCGGTTACCATGGGATGCGCAGGCGGCGACGCGCAGTCGCGTTGGCGGGAATCGGAGGCGGCGATGATGCAGTCGCGAAGGCAAAAATCGCGGGCGACAGCGGTGCAGTCACGGCGGCGGAAATTGTGGGCGACGGCGGTGCAATCGCAGTGGCGGGACGTGCAGGCGATGACGGGGCAGTCGTGGCGGTTGGATGTGCACGCGGCGACGTCATGTCGCGGCGGCGAGTACCACAGGCGGCGACGACATAGTCGCGGTGGTGAAATGTGCAGGCGGTGACGTGAATTCGCGGCGACGGACTGGGCAGGCGACGACGCGCATTCGCGGCGGCTGGTACAGCAGGTGGCGACAACGTGGTCGCGGGGGCGGGATGGGCAGGCGGCGACGAGAAGGTCGCAGCGGCAGAAGTTCCAGGCGGCAATGGCGTGGTCGCGGCGGCTGGAAGGGCAGGCAGCGACGAAAAGGTCGCGGCGGCTGGGAGGGCAAGCAGCGACGGAAAGGTCGCGGTGGCGGGATCAGAGGGCGGCGACATAGCGGTCGCGGCGGAGAAATTCGCGGGTGAAGAGGCATGGGCGGCCAAATCTACGGAGAGATCCGCTGGACACGGCGGTGAAATCCGCAGCGAAATCACGGCGGTGGAAATTGCGGAGGGGGGGAGGAAGGGGGGGCGCGGAGGCACGGGCGGCGGGGGGGGTGGGGGGGGGGGACGACGGCGACCGAAAGGTTGCAGTGGGAAGGGAGGACGACGGCGACGGTGATGTCGCAGCGTGAGGGAAGCGTATGGTGGGCCCTTGGGAAAAAACTGGAGGGGGGAGATAAGGCCTTAGGTAAACTTAGCTCTATACCATGTGAAACTTGTAAACTGAATGATTAGCTTCATTAGGAAACAAGAGAGCATACATAGGATGCAAGGCTAGCTTGGAAGGGAAGGGGAGGGAGGTGTTGCTTGGGGAAGTAGGCCAACATATGGCCCATTGGGGTAGGATGGCCACACTTGGAGAGTGGGCCAACCTATGGCCCATTGGGGTAAGTTGGTAACACTAGGGAAGTGTTGCCAACCAATGGCCCATTGGGTTGGGTTGGCAACATTCCCAAAGTGTTGCCAACTTTAGGGACCAATGGGTGCATTTGGGGGCTCCACCACAATTGGGTTGGATTGGCACCCCAAAGTGCAAGACTACACTCAAAGTTGGTTGTAGTCGCAACCCAACTGTACACCAAACTTGGTGTATAGTCACAAGTACTTAGCATGCTATATATATTTCTAGCACCTCCCTCATCGTCCCCCACCACGAGAGAGTAGTCATCGTACTTTGAGTTGGGATGAGTAGACATCCTAGTGCAAGTGGATGCGTGGGTGGGAGTGATAGTAGAAGGAAGAGACAAAGGGTCACTTTCCTTGGCATTGCCTTCATCCCCACTCACTCCATCCGCACCCGATCCATTCTCCCCCTCACTCGTACTAGGAGGAGCCGTAGGAGCTTCATCCGCCTCATCCGCGGCATCCACGGGTGGAGGGACGATGATGACTAAGGGCACGTTCATTGACTTGGACAAGAAGGTGTCTTCAAAGAACACCACGTCGCGCGACACCACGAGTTTCCCGTGCTCCAAGTCCCACACACGCCAAGCCTTGGACCCAAGTACTTTGCCACCCGCGCCTTAGCCTCAAGCTTGGTCCGTGTGACGTCGGGTACATTAAAGTAGCACGTGCACCCAAAGGTGCGAAGGTCGGAGACGTCCGGCATCGTACCGCTCCAAGCCTCAAGAGGCATCTTGTTCGGCATCGCCTTGGTCACGCAACGGTTTCGAATCCATATTGCCAACATAACCGCCTCACCCCACCAATGCTTCTCCGCATGAGCATGTGAGAGTAGGCTTCGGGCCAACTCCATCAACATGCGGTTCAAGCCTTGGACAATCCCCTTTGCTGCCATTACTTGAATAGTTGCATGGTGGAGGTGGCTAAACCGGTTATGCCACGTTGAGAGAGTGGTTGTCGAGGTAGCCGTTTGAGCCGACGCCACAATTGGGAGAGCTCAAGCACGAAGAGCCCTCCGGCATGGCGTGCCGTGCCAATGTGTACGCCATTCGCCGTGCTCAACGCCATGGTGGTTGCTTCACGATTCACACACATCCCCCTGCGTGTGAATTGTGAAACGTAGAGGAGGTTGGCGCCGAGCCCGGGAACCACCAAGACCTTCTTAAAGTGAGTGAACCGCCGTCCACCATGAGCCGCAAGTCACCTTGTCCCATAAACTCCAACGTGTCGCGGTTGCCGAACATCTCACGCTTGACGGAAGCCTCCATAACCACGTCGTTGAGAAGCATCGTGCATGGCGTCATGTGTTGAGTAGCACGCATGTCGAGTACCCACGCGTCAACACCACCAACGGTTGTTCCACTTGCAACGAAGTCGAACTCGCGGTCGTTGTCGTCGCATGTCGCCACATGCGCTTGCCGGTTGTCGTCACTTGACGGCTTCCAATTTGCCGGCTTGACGTGACGGTCACACCACCAATATCCGGTCTTCTTGCAAAAACGGCAAGCCCCGTCGCGCGTCCGAGCTCGGTTAGCGTTGGCCGATCCTCCTCATGATGAGCTTGAGGCCGTCGCGCTCCCGTTCGAGCTCCGGCAGTTGTTGCCGTCGTTACGCCACTTGACGTGACCCGCCCTTTCGCCTTCGCATCGCGGGAGAAGTGTGTCGTGCCAGTTGCATCGCCATGTAACATCTCGCGCCTCGCCTCTTCGTTGATGAGGCGTGCCATCACTTGCTCCTTCTTCCATGTAGCTTGCGTCCCATCCAACGTCCTTATCACCGTTGGCCATGCTTCACCGAGGCCCGCGAGGAGTGTCATGATCCAATCGTCCTCGTTCAGGCTCACATCGAGTTCCACCAAGCGCTCGTCAAGCTCTTCCATGTGATTGACGTACGCGCGCATTCACTCGCCGGCCTTCATCCGCACCGTAAAGAAGTCGAGACGTGCTTGAAGCATGCTCTGAGGCGACTTGGAGACATGCACATTTTCGAGTCGCTTCCACGCTTTACGAGTTGCACCGTTACGGTCAATGCACGGACTCACGATGGTGACAAGTTGGAGACAAGAAAGGCGAACGACTTTTTGTCCTTCGCACCTACGCTTCATTTCCAAGGTTGAAGCACCCGAAGTGGGCTTCGATGCCGACCCATCGAATAAGCCCCACAAGTCGCGCTCCATCATATACACTTTGAGCTTGAAGCGCCATGAGGAGAAGTGCTCCTAGTTACTAATTGGCACCGCGCTCAAGTCGACAACGTGCGGCGTTGTCGAGAAGTCCATCGAAGGGGGAGGGGCCGTTGGCGCATTCATCGTCGACGAAGTATCGGAGGAACCCATGGCGTAGCAACGATTAAACGAGCACTCCTACTCCAACTCTCATACCATAAAAGAACCCGCCTCTGGTTTAATTGACGCCACAGAGTCTACTTGGCGAGTTAAAGGCAGAGCCTAGGATCAATCCGACGGGCTCGGAGAAAGGAATCCGTAGCAATTGAGATCAAAAACCAACGAAATCGATTAATAGGTTGATTACAACAGAAACAACATGAACCTTATAGAGAACATAGTGACGTGTGCACGAACGTTTAGGAAAACGTTGTTCAAGGAGAACGTGCAAGCACCTACTATAGTACGTGATTCCAGGCTAACACCGCCAGGAAAAAATACCATCAGGTGAAAATACCATCAGGTGTTTTTCTACCTGCCGAGGAGTAGTGCGCAAATTCTTGCAACACTAAGAGTTGCACATACTGGTTTGTGCAATGTCGTCACTTCTCTCCAATCTGGTCCAATGTCGAATTGTGCATACTGAAAAGCAACAAATTGGAGTGTACCGAAGCTCCGGTTGTCAGAATCTTAGCTTGGCTAAGGAGCCATAGCTAGTGAGAAGTTCGAGTGAGTTTGAGTTAGGAGAGTCGAGAAAGTTGAAAAGAGAAGAGGAGGGGTTTCACTATAGAGCGAGCAATACATATAGGCAAGATGAAAGGTGCACCACCAAAACATAACATTATATAACTACACTAGTCTACACTACAGGCAATTACAAAACAATATATAGATTTATATATTATTCTGACACGCCCCCATAAGTGCCTGTAGGGAAGAATATGCAGTCAACGCCCCCATAATGGGGTACACCAAGAGTGCGTAGCAGTACGGGAAAGGGCAGGCAAGGAGGAGGAGAGAGGGAGAGAGAGAGAGGGAGAGAGAGGAGAGGAGGTGATAGGCTCTGGTTGGTCACCACATACATCCCCTCATCCTCCCCCTCCCCCTCCCCCTGCTACAAGAGCAGCAGAGGGGGGGACAAACGGAGGAGAATGGAGCCGTAGGGCCAGGGGACCACACTCACCCATCACCCCCACACCCGCCACCCCCAGTCCCTCCCCGGGCTCCCCACACTCTCACACCCTCCCCCCAGCAGCAACTGCAGCAGAGGGAACAAAAGGAGGAGGAGAAAGGGGGGGGGGAAGGGGGGGGGGGGGGAACAGCGTCAACGTAGGTGCCTGTGGACTTCCAGGAAGCCATCTCTGCATCCATAGCTGCCTGCCACTAAGAGGAGTAGGGACCCTCTATCGCCTCCGCGTAAGAGCGCGGAGTCGGGATGTCTAGTGCATCCGGGTCTCCCTCAGGGGCGAGCAGTACAGACGCAAGATGAGGTGAAGCGGCGGCCAGACACTGGAACTCCTCCTGCCTGTCCTCAAGGACGTCCGTGCCTAGGGCACACTCACCCCCGACGGACGGAGAACAGGCAGACTCAGACTCAGCGACAAGACTAGCAGCGTAGTCTAGACGACAGCGCGCAGCAAAGTCGACAAGCTCAGTGACAAGGGCAGACGCAGCAGACGACTCGAAGGAAGGGTCAGTGACAGCAGTAGCAAGGAGACGCGTGACAGTGGGACTGGCAGCACGAAGAGAGTCCGACTCCGGGTTGGCAAGAGCAGGAAGAGAGGAAGCAGGAGGAGAAGGCAAAGGGGCACGCAGAGGAGCAGTAGACGGACGCAGAGACATCTGGTGCGTGCCAGGGACAGGAGGAGGACGCTGACGTGAACCGCGACCACTAGTGCGTGCAGTGCGAACAGGCGACGCAGGACGAGACGCAGGCTCACGACGCTCAGTAAGACCTCCAGTCGGACCAGCGTAGGGAGAAGGAGCAGGCAAAGGGGAGGCAGGCTGT